CTGTGCACCAGGCTTCTAGTTAAAAATAATATTCATAGTGGTTTTAACACCACTCTCCCCAATATACTTAAGATACCTAGTGGCCTTGGGAACTGAATATGATATGTGATGACAACAGGATCTAGCTCAGGGGTGGGCAAACTTTTTGACTCGAGGGCCACAATGGGTTCTTAAACTGGACCGGAGGGCCAGAACAAAAGCATGGATGGAGTGTTTGTGTGAACTAATATAAATTCAAAGTAAACATCATTACATAAAAGGGTACGGTCTTTTTTTTTTTTTTAGTTTTATTCATTTCAAACGGGCCGGATCCGGCCCATGGGCCGTAGTTTGCCCACGGCTGATCTAGCTAGTTAACTCAGATAGAAACAGAAGAGGATTCCTTTCCTGGTAATGGGCAGCACTTGGTCACTAGGATATAGTAATTGGTGAACAGACTTTGAAGATCACTAAACTGATGAAGCATCATGCTTATAGCCAGCTCTGTGCCAGGGCATGTACATTAGTTCCCAATTGCTGCCATAGTAAATTGCTACAAAATTAGTGGCTCAAACAGCACTTATTTATTATATTAGAGTTCTGGAGATCAAAAGTCCAACTATTGGTCTCACCAGGCTAATTCAAGGTGTCAAATTGGACCGATTCCTTCAAGAGATTCTGTAAGGAGGGTCCATTTCCTTGGCTTTTACAGGTTCTAGAGTCCACCTTCATTCTTTGGCTTGTGATTCTTTCCTCACATCACTCCAGCCTGTGCCTTGTCATCACATCTACCACCATTCCCACCACTCGCTCTAATCCACCTGCATCCCTCTTATGAGGACCTTGTGATTACAGTGGGCCCACCCTGATAATTCAGGATGATTTCCCCATTTTATGATCTTCCTTAACAATGTACCAAAAGTCGAGTGGCTTAAACAATGTAAATGTATTTTCTCACAGTTGTGGAGGCTGGAAGTCCAAGATCAAGGTTCTGGCAGGACTGATTCCTGCTGAAGGCTGTGAGGAAGGATCTGTCCCATGTCTCTTCTCTTTCTTCTCTCTCTCCTGGTGATTTGCTGGCAATCTTTGGTGTTCCTTGGCATGTAGAAACATCGCATGATCTCTGTTTTCTTTTTCTCATGGTGTTCTCCCTGTGTGTATGTCTGTCTCCAAATTTTCCCTTTTAATAAGGACACCAGTCATAGTGGATTAGCCTAACCCTATTTCCCCCACCCTAATGACTTCATTTTAACTCAATTACCTCTATAAAAACCCTATCTCCCAACAGTACCTCCCTGCATTCTGAGGTACTGGTGATTTGGACATGTGAATTTGGGAAGGAAGGGGGGTGCACAATTCAACCCATAACAGAAATAGACATACTGTGGAGGCTATTTATCATTCAGCTTACCATAGCATGTTCCCACATGCTGGAGGGGCTGACTGACGTTATGATTGTAACAGTTAAAGGACAGTGACCATGTATGCTGGAGACCCAGGGTCAAAGGTTACATTTGGAAGAACATTACAGCCAGCTTAAGCTTTATATAATGTCACTGGGAAACATGGTTATCACTGCTGTTACCTCATTTCCAGAGTATCATGAATTGGAGAGGAACTTACATACCCTGTAGTACCAAAGTCACACTGTTTTAAGCCTGAACTGGCTTGTGTTGGCCTGAGGCAGATGGGTGGTGATTCACATGACACATGAGCCCCTATATTAGCGAAAACTGTTCCTTAGTGGTTAGGTATTGTTAGGTTCCCAAGACAGGTGAAACTAGCATTTATTAAACAATACCTCTGGCAATTATAGTATAGTGTATGGAGAAAGTGTATTTTTGTGGAAAAAATAGGAAAATAGCATATTAACTGATATGTGGTATGATAACATTATATTAATCTCTCTGCCATCTCTATAAGGTGTAAAACAGAATTTACAAGTTTACTAAATGAAACATGTTATATAAAGATTGACAGATATTTTGGGAAAACAGTCTAAAATACCCAAATTTATATAACAGCAATAGAGACTGATTGAACAGAGAAAGATATAAACTTACCTTTAAAAAAAAAAGTTATATGCAGTTGTGTATTTTGGGTTTCTTTTTTTAAAACATTCTAAGATGGTTCCATTAACAGTGGGCAATGAGGGAGAAAAAAATAATTCAATTGGTATACAAATACAGTGGGGCCTTGACTTACGAGTGTCCCGACTAACGAGTTTTTCGAGGTACGAGGCGTCTCTCGGCCGATTTTTTGCTTTGAGTTGCAAGCTAAAATTCGGGTTACAAGCCAGCTTCAGATACCCCACCGCTAGTTGGCGCAAGGAATGTCACAGCGAACACCACAACATCAGCCTAGACAGGGGTGGGCAAACTTTTTGACTCGAGGGCCACAATGGGTTCTTAAACTGGACCGGAGGGCCAGAACAAAAGCATGGATGGAGTGTTTGTGTGAACTAATATAAATTCAAAGTAAACATCATTAAATAAAAGGGT